AAAAAAAAAAGTAAATTGCTTACCACTTCATTCCCATTCAATTAAACAGTGTAGACTTTTTTTTGTTTGGTTTTGGTGGTTTTTTTTTTTGGTACTGGGGATCGAACATGGGTCCTTGTGCTTGTGAGGCAGACGGCAGAAAAACTGAGCTAAATCCCTGGCCCCTACCTTTAATGTTTATGTTGTAGAGAAAACTAAAGTGGGATATCTCACAGCTTTTACATGGGAATACAATCAGAATGATTTATTCTCCATCAGTATTAAACTGAAACTGGTAAGTGACAACATACCTGATATGTGTTGAGTAAAGGAGTCTTTCCAGTGGTTCGTGTTTAGCACAACTATAAAGGAGTGATTTAGGATTGGTGATAAGAACCACTGGCCACTTGCCAAAGGTCAAGTCTGCAAAGCTGAAGAGGTCATGATCAAAAGCAAAAATCCGGTACCTAGATACAAGAGGACAGAAAGGTAATTCAGTCACCTCATATTATAAGGGGGCACGAAGGTAATAGAACAAATGTAAAAATACAAAACAAAGACTATTTTGAACCTAAGACATCCATCACAAGCCTAAGATCTGACATTCTTCATTCCATCAATAATGCTACATAGGGCCGGGGATTTAGCTCAGTGGTTTCGCCACCTGCTGCACAAGCGCAAGGACCCAAGTTCGATCCCTGGTACAAAAACAAATAATAATAATGCTACATATTGAATATTAAAATGTTTGATATGAGCACATCTAGAAACTTTTTGTACTTCTTTTAAATTTTTATTCATATAATTTCAAAGGAATAAAAGTTCAGTTGCCTTGATTTTCCAAATGTATGGTGAACAATAGTCATTAAAGAGTAATTAATGTCTTATATTTTCTTTTAGAAGTGAGAAAAGAAATTATGAACTATGACAGAAACAGTAATGTTCACCAAGTGTTCCATATGCTCTCCAGAATTTCCTGGTCTCCTTGGTATTAGGTTGGGGCCATGTGACTCAAAGGTCTGAGCAGAAGTGATGTGTATCACACTTTTGATCCAGAGAACTTGAGAGCCAGTATGGTTTACTCTCTTCTCTGTCTGGAATGGGTATTACCCTGGCATTATAGGGCCAGGAAAACTGGAATTCCTGAGGCATCCATGGAAAAGAGTTGCTCTGTACTTAAAGGAATGAAAAATAAATGTTTGTTAACACTGGTATTTCTGGATTTATTTGCATCCATTACAATGCTTAGCCTGATAATATCAATATTCTGCTTTAAAATCTTCTATTGTAACTTTAAATGTTTATAATGACAGCTAAAGGTTAGGTCCTTTCAGCAAAATTCCAAATAAAACCTTAGGGCTGGAATACAGAAAAGGAGGTGAAAACAGAAAGAAAGGAAATGGTTTCATAGTTAAAATCACAATTTGTAACAGTATCATTTAGATGTAATAAAGAAGCTGACCCAAAGTTAGGAAAGTTATCTCACAAGAGACATCATAACCCAGCCTACACCACAACCTCACCTTCATGATAGGTCTTGGCCCAAAGTAATTACAGTCACAAGGCAATAACAGGCTTCAGCATATCTCTTATAGTTTCTTGGAAAGCCAACCACAATAAGGAAGTACTTTCCAAGATGTAAAGCTGTTTGTTTTTTTTTTTTTTGGTACCGGGGATTGAACTTGGGACCTTGCGCTTGCAAGGCAGGTGGCAGAACCACTGAGCTAAATCCCTGGCCCTTTTAGTTTTTTGAGATAGGGTTTGCTATGTAGTTCAGGCTGGTATTGAACTCACTAAATTGCCCAGGCTGAGTTCTAACTTGTGATCCTCCTGCCTCAGCCTCCCAAAGTCCTGGGGTTAAAGGTGTATGCCACCACACTCAGCTAAAATTTTAAATCACTAACATCTTGTAGCAATAACTAGAATGGTAGTTATAAAATTCAGGGAAAAGAATAACACTTCTATGCCTAATGCTTCTCCAAGTATTATCCATAGACCAATACAGACCATAGAACCGTAGACCAACACAATTGCAACCTCTAATGAAGGGGCCTAGAAAATTTTGCTTTTAATAAGCTCTTCCATAATTCTTATGTACAGTGGAATTTAAAACTATTTCCTTGAAAATTCAACATGATATAGTGATAGTGAACATCACTGCTACCACAAGGCTTTTGTATAATAACAAATACATAAATACATAAATTATCAAATACATAAATTACTTTAAAAAACAGAAATACCCAAGTTTTTCCTTAACTGGGATCACCCATCATATCAATAAGCAAAGTGCCATTGTTTCAGCAAAAATTCTGCAGGTCAGTTTTACTTGGGGTAGTTCCCTTACCTTCTGTTATCTTTCCAGTCCCCCACTTCAAGTTCCAAAGTGCCCTGCAAGTGACGAGTGTGCAAAACAGGCATCAGTCCACCAAGTGTATGGAGGTGTCCGCACAAATATGCTGTTGCCGAACTAACCAACAAAAATAAACAGAGTAAATGAACAAGGACAGCCTGTGATGCCAACTAGCAAGAATGTCTCTTTAAGGAAGCAAGATAGGCATAGCAGTAAAAGGACTAAAAACAATTAGTTATGGTTTTGGAAATTTTCTTCACCTCATTATTGACTGGATTCCTGGTGGTGGAGAAAGGATAGTGGATGTTGTAAAGTGTCCAAACCAAATCGTATGGTTGCTCCGACTACTTTCTTTGGCTAGTAATAAGAGCTCCTTCATCTGTTTCTGAAAGGGGAGAAAATGGAAGGACCCTTAACTAGAGTACAGGCTGAAATTCAGTGTGAACAGGTTAAAGTGTTATAATAGTAATTACATTGTATCTGGAGCCTAAACCCTGCTCATTAATGACCTAAATGGACATCTGTAAGATTCAAACTGGTCTTTTGTTGTTGTTGTGCTTTGGGTTTTTTTTTAAGACAGGGTCTTGCTATGTAGTTCAGGCTGGTCTTGAACTCATGGCGCTCCTCCTGCCTCGGCCTCCCCAGTACTGGGATTAGAGGTGTGTGCCACCATGCCCAGGCGATTCAAACTGTTTACACCAGGTGTTGTGGCACATGCCTGTAATCCCAGCACTCAGGAGGCTGACGCAGGAGGATCACTGTGAGTTCAAGGCCAGCCCAGGCTACTTAGTAAGTTCAAAGCCAATCTGAATTACATAGCAAGACCTTGTCTCAAAAAACCAAAAACCGAAACAAAACAAAATCCAGCTGTGGTGGCACATACCTGTTATCCCAGCATTCAGAAGGCTGAGGCTGGGCCGGGGATTTCGCTCAGTGGTTCTGGTGCCTGCCTCGCAAGTGCAAGGTCCCGAGTTCGATTCCCGGTACCAAAAAAAAAAAACCACAAAAAACTGAAGGCTGAGGCAGGGGGATTGCTGAGTTCAAAGCCAGCCTGGGCTACACAGTGAGTTCAAGGCCAGCCTGAGCTACACAGCAAGACCCTGTCTCAAAAAACAAACAAACATGTCCACAGAAATGCTTGTACCAAAATGTTCAAAATAGTTCTACTCATAATACAGTAACCAAAAACTGGAAACTATAAACAAATTGTACTGTATCTATAGAATGAAATACCACTCAGCAATGAAAAGGAAAGAACTAGTAATTAACATAATCACATGGATGAATCTTGGAAACATGCTGAGCATAAAAAGCCAGATCCTTAAGGAAAGTTAACGGAAAATTTTAAAAAAGAGAAAGATATGATAAAGAATGTAAAAAAAAAACCCCAAAAAACAGAAGAAGCCAGATCCAACAAGGCATACTGTATGATTTCATTTACATAAAGTTTTAGAGCAAACAAAACTAATTTGAACTGATAGGAAACCAATCATCCAATCTATAGGAAGTGAAGATAAATTATACAAGGAAACTTTCAAGGGTGATAGAAATGTTCTACATCTTGATTGCGGTAACAATCACACCAAATACATGTGTCAAACTCTTCAAACATTTAAAATGAGTCTATTTTATTGTATGTAAATCATATATCATACAGCTGATTTAAAAAGTATTTTGCACATACACAAATATGCATTACTATTATCTGTAAAGTATTCACGGCAATAAATTTCTGGGCCCTACTTCCTCATGGTAAGTCTGGGAAGACCAGGGAATCTGCATTTCATAATATTCCAGTTGATTTTTATGTACATACCTGATCCTTAAATTGTACCTTTAAAAAACTATTCTAAGAAATAGTATTTAATCAACTCTAACTAAAGACCCTTGGTAGCTAGGAAACAAAATATAAATAAATAAAATGTCTAAAATAACAATGTATTTGAAAATATTTTGTTCAGTTAATTTTAAGCTCCTTTGAACCTTTAAATAACTCTGAATCTCTTTCAGTACTTAGCAAATTCTGCTATTTATTATAGTTATTCCTGTACTGGTCTTATATCCCACCCCTAGATTAAATACTCCGAGAGGGCAGGGACTTGATCTTATAACCTTCGTACCTTTATATAGAGGCACATGTATCTTGTATAGGGCATGTGCTCATTAAACAATAGCTTGGCATTTATTGCGTCAAGAAATAATGAGAGAGGGCCAGGGATTTAGCTCAGTGGCGCTATGCCGGCCTTGCAAGTGCAAGGTCCTGAGTTTGATCCCCGGGACTGAAAAAAATAACAATAATAATAATGAGAGGTTCTCAGATGTGACTTTATAGACAGCTGTAATCCATTTGTAATCTATAACCTTGTGAAAAAATACTTGAAAGTTGTCCTTTTGTTTTTTTGAGACAGGGTCTCCTATGTAGATCAAGCTAGCCTTGAACTCACTATGTAGCCCAGGCTGGTCTCACACTCCTGGGGATCCTCCTACCTCAGCCTCCGGGGTGCTGAGATTACAGGGGTGTGCCACCATGCCTGGCTAGTTGTCCTTTTCTTACAGATCACTAATTAGTATTGGCAATTGTGATGATTTGGCAATATACCATTTGGTACTCAAAGGCATATGCCTTACATCTTGCAAAACACATGCTATACTTAGTATATATTTCATAAATGTTTACTGAATAAATATAAAATATGAGGTGCTTCTTCATATTCTGGGATAAGAACAGAAAGACCAATGATAGCGCTGAAGTAGCCAATAGCTCTTAGCCATTCCAGTAAGCACAATATAATTTTTCTTGAACATTTCTAGATAAGAACTTGTTCACCTTGGATAACTTTAAATGATCCACATGTACCCAAGAAAACATTAAAAAAATGTAAGATACAAAGGAAAGTGAGATTGTTACTGTACCTCATCTAAAATTCCAAAGAAATTATAGGGCCTCTTTGGCCCTGGAGTTTGGGTGGCATCAACAGAGATGAAAGAATAGTTGCCAAAGGGAGTACTGTGGACATAATGGAAAGAGCCATCCCTGCTTACCGCAGAATATTTCCTAAAAAAATACAAGACAGGAAAATTTAGTGCAACCATAAAAAGACAGAATTAATTTAAAGTCTGTCTTCAATATCATATGAGATTTTTCTTCCCTTTGAAAAAGAGATTTACTGGGCTGGGGGTTTAACTCAGTGGTTCCATAGCCTAACTCGTACATGCAAGGTCCCGAGTTCAATCACCGGTACCAAAAAAAACAAAAGAAAAAGAGATTTACTGATCTGACCGAGAGGCAAAATAAACTAGATGGATGTAAACCAGATAAACTAATTCAAAGTTTCAAAGTTCTTGAATTGTCTCTAAGGACCCACGCAAACCAACTCATCAATAACCAAACACAAGGTCCCCAAGTAAAGCAGAAAAGAAGGTTATTTTAAGCAGTTCCTTAAATATTCAAAAATAAATGAAACAGAATCCAGTGACAGAGTACTTATCAATCATTTAAAAATTTAGTACCTAGCAAAAGTCTTGGTGTAGTGAGATACAAAATGTGTTGGCTTTTTTAAAAAAAATGGAAAGAATACCAATTTCACTTTTTTGCCTAATTTAGGAATAAGATGAGGAGAATGGGGTTGAGGTCAGGTAGGAAGGAAGAGGGTTAAACTTGTGATGGTAAAGATCCCTTCAACACTCTGGCGCAGTACTCAGTCACTGCAGCTTCACTTCAGTCAATAGGGTTGCGATCCAAACACTGAAAGTGACTCCTATTCTCCACTTGTGTGCCCAGTGACTCTTCAGTTACAGAGTGATGAGGTCTACCAGGTTGCCTTTAGGAGGAGTCATGCTGTCAGGAAAGAAATTTACTAAGGTGTCAAAGAGCTGAGTTCTTTGAGCA